TGATTTGAAATGTTAGCGATAAAAAGCTCTTTAGAAGTTTTTCGTGCGAACACTTCTGCTTATAAATTCTCTACTCGTTAACAATGGTGCATAAATCAGCGAAAAGCGCATGGTTATTGGAATACAAAGTGAATTAAGATCAAGAGGATTATCGCTAAGACTGATTATATGCATTGGCAACTTAACTGCAAATAAGACGACTGGATATCGGTCAACGTTATACGGATGACGGGTGATCCATGACCGTCTTGAAAGTTCCCAGAGCACGGTGAGGGATAACGAAAACAAATATCGGAAGAATATGACTTTCGATCTGTAACAGGCCTACTTTGTGGACAAAAAGGAAATTCCATTCATTTCCAGTCACCTCTCTCAGTAACTAGATGCGACAACAGACTGTGCGTACGTCGCGAGTCGATGCGTGAATTCATGCCAAATCGAACTAAAGAAAGTTGAAGGGATGCATATAGTGACCTACTGATTCATCTCCGGCATTTTCTCATCTCTCTTGCCTCATATTTGACAGTGACTAAGAGGCTTTGCTACTTAGCGAATCTTATCCCCCATTTTTAATCTAGAAATCCAAATCTGAGGTTTTTCCTACTTAGGTGATGTCGTTCTTTGAACGAACATTTCGGTCAAATTTTTAGAATAAACCATGCCCATTCCTATTGTAAAAATATTGAAAAATCGACTCTTGCCAAAGTCTGATACATCAGAGTTACTGGACCTCCTTTCAGTCGGGTAAATAATGTGTAGGGGCAAAGAAAAAAAGAGGAATTCTGTTTTTTATGGCTTATAAACTCAACCAATCACGTTGTTTTACCATTAGATATTTAACCTGAGGTTGAAAATCTACCCATTACAGTACAGTACTTGTCTGAAATGCCATTCTAACTTACTTTATTTTCCAGTTCTTAAACAAATGACTTTTGTTCTGCCGAACTAACCTCTTAAGGGGTTGTACACGCATTTATAACGAAGTTGTCTAAATGGACACCGATAAGGACTACGGAGACATAAGTGGCTAGTTCCGCCATATTAGCTGATATCAGAATTTATAGATAACGCAGAGCTCGGACCCAGACACCGAAATGCGGGCATAAGTCAGAGATTATATTACTGGATCACGGGTTCTGTCTCGTCAACTGCGATCTGGAATACTAACAAGGAAATGGCTGACACTTATCTGAATTCAGTAGGAAGCACGCTCATCTTGTCTTATTCAAGAGATTATGGACACCCTGAAGCAGTTAATTAGCAAGTTTGCAACGATTGGCAGAGTTGGCTTACTTCTATCAAAAATGGAGTTGAAATTTTACAAACCGACATAATATACAAAGTCGAGGCAAATCCTCAGGAACGAGATATGGCGGACCAAGTTCACCAGCGCCAAAGACTTGCAATTCTCTCCGCACTGCCGGCTGAGGTTCAGATCACGGATCGGCCCCTTTAAACACCTTTGCGTCCAACTCAAAATGATCACGAGTAGGTCGATCTTATCACAAAACACTACCGTCGCAACTGACGACAACTCTGGCTGGCCTCAGTATAACGGCACATTCCGACGCCAGCCCACTATGGTCAATCATTTTTTTTCAGTCATCAGGACACACGAGACAATTACCGACAACGCAGACACCGACAATATGCCCTTAACATATTGGCACATTCCAGCTATACACAGGCCCCATCTGCGATCTGCAAAGTCAGTAATATGCGGCTGGTGAACCGTTGTCAACTGCCGTCATAGCTGCTTTACCTACTCGCATTTTTACGTCACGTCCAGACATCGTGTGGGTGGAAAGTGTCGAAGTCATCGTCATTCAAGTTCTCCTCCTCACAAAGACTCCGCATATGCGTTTTTCTGTCGTGTATGTATGTTAACGATCTCTCGCACGTCACATATACCTCATGCAACAATCATTCGACTTAATTTGCTGCCTTTCTAATGGCCACCCAGCGCGGTATATGAACACAAGTAGCTTTAGCTTGTAAAGAATCTAGTTTTTTGGCGAAGTCTCCTTCATGTGATGCAAAAAACAGGCCGGTGCATTTATGTCACGTTAGTCCAATCACTGTCCGACATCCTACGAACAGTTCGATGGTAATTGGGAAAGAGGAGTGAGTATTACACCTATCTAGTTAGGATTCAGCCGATATTTTCCTGACGACAAACGAGCAAACTGACTTAAAATGTGAGGCACTGACAATTCTAGCTTGTAAGGTTGTCAGGTGACGGTAGGATTCGCTCTCCCTTAGAATTGAGAATCATGTAAAACTTTCTCCACGTTGAGTCCTGGCACGCGTAAATGTTAAGGGGTAAAGCGCACGTGGACGGGCTGTTCAGCCTTTTCAGGCACTGCGGCTGCATCTCAACGCGAAGAGGTGGGGGAAGTAGATGCAACCTACGTATGAATAATTATAAGCAGATTTGAACAAATCATTACTGCGCAATCCTGGAGATAGTGGTAGACCCTGTCGTTTGTTACCGTCAAACTTCCGTTGCTTAGCACTATCTGGTTGCAATATTTTGTACTTTATTTCTAAGAATGTTTCTTGTCAGCTTTTGAGTAATAAGTTCACGTTCCTGACAGTAAATGCAAACTCTGATGGTTTCCATTTATTTCAACGTTTATTCTAATATCCTAAATCAATCCCAAAGCCGACTGGTCGAATGCAGTAAGACGGCGTTTACATTTACGGACGCATGCTGCTTGTTGATATATACGAACTGCATTTTGTGCCCGTAGTTTTACAAATAGCTTCAAGATACACATAGAGCACATTATAATGAAAATGGCACACATTGCTTACGCACTATCCATGGTAAATCCATCAGAAACAATAGGGACAAGAATTCGAGAAATTATACAAAATATATTCAGTTAGATTTCTTCGGTATTAAATGCCGGCAAGTCAGACCACATGAGCGGCAGGTTAAGACAGAGGTCGAGGCTGGTGCCTCTTTAGAATTATTGTACAATCTCCTATAACCTTATTAACCCCGTCCGTGCAGCTACCTTGAAATCATTGTCCCTTAACCTCTCATCATTACAGTAACAATTTTACTGTCACGACTATTATGAACAGCTATAAATATACTACAAACAATATAGGAAAATTCCGAAACAACTAGTATGAAAAAAATTAGTCAATGGAAAACTGCGGAACATATCACAACATAATATACTATGCAATTATGGAAATCCCTGTTTAGTTAACACCGATTAAGCGTGAGTCGGTGTCGCTTCAAATGGCTGCTAAATAAAAGTGCGAACATTAAGGTAGTCTGTAAACCACTACGGAAGTGCTTCAAAAAGCACCACAGACGACCTATTAAACCGGTATGGGAACGCAAAACCACGACTCGGTAAACTGAATAACATGACTCATATAAGCTAGCAAAGTGAAAAATTATAACACTAGCTGCCGCAAGAAATACAGAGCCATTTTGTTATTATTTGCATAACAACTTCATCGTGGGCCATTTTGGTCACAAGCAATTCTTTGCCTCATTTTCAGACACTAAACCTACATTTTTATGTCCACGTCCACAACTGGGCGCGAATCTCATTTAATGATTTATCGATGTAGTCAAGCAAAGGTTTCGACAATTACACGTTTTCTTTTATCATAATGAAATAGATAAAACAAGAATCAATGTAATCGGGGTTTATAAATTCGTTAAGTAAAGTTTGGTCAGTAAAAAGCACGATAAGTATGGAAAAAGAGGAATCAGTTGGAACGAGAGAGTTCGGTTAGATCAGAATCTATTGAAAAAGGGCCTCATTATTTCAGTAGAAAACCGTGAACGTGAGATAATCGTGAATGATTTGCAGTAAATCAGATAAATACGGAGTGATACGGCGCGAGAGTATACGGAAAATTAATTTTGGTAGGCGTTAAAATCATTCCAGTCATATACTATGACCAAAACAACCCAGGTTATAGCCAAATAAGGGAAATCAAATACAGCATAGGTGAGGTGTGACAATTTCATGTCGCTCCTCGATGGGCTGCGACCGTCTCAATAAACAAATTATAATACACAATGGTCGTTTTTACCGTCTTAAAATAGCAAACAAAGGCTTGGGTAAGTAAGGCATTTTTATAAATAAATTCCCAACTGTAAATCACCGCTTACATGTTTAACATAAACAATTACACGACAAAGCACATCAGGTTTGAGCGACGGAGTCAACTCGAGTTTCAACGTTCAGCTACGGGCAACTAGCCCTGAATTATCCAGCTGTCGCTGTCATAATGATCTAACAGAAGAACACCGCAAGGCCTGGAAAATGGCTCACTTACATTCAAGTTGTCATTAATGCGTGTAATGTTTGGCTCCTGGTTAATTATTAGAAAGAGGCACGATTTTAGGACAAAAATGAAAATGTCGTAATTCACTCAAGTATTTTCCGCCGCGGGGACAAGAAGGGATTCAAAAAATAGTCTACTAACGAAAAGATTAGAGGAAAATAATCGCAGGCAAGGCAAAGGTTTCAGATAGTTAACCATCACTTTGTCGCTGTAAGTGAGACTCTGAAAATAGTCCTTAGAAATTATTCTGATAGGTCTCCTAGAAAATAGAGCTGGATTTGCGCGGACGATTCCCCCATAATAGCAAATCGATGGCGCGGCGACAACGCCACGGTGGGGGAAAGTCGCGATAGTATGACCGGCCCGTGGATCCACGCATTAGCGATTCTATAAGTTATAATTATAAGCTTAAGCCCTAGAGCTACGACATAGTAACAAAAAGATGACTTCTGCTAAACAAGGCTCCGCAGCGTCTTCATGTACAAGACGACTACGAAGTTAACGTAGAGTAGATCTACACTGCAAGGTCGACCTTGCAGATTACCAAAACCAGTGTTATATGCGACCAAAGAAATGATAAAACTCAGCAACCCAAGAAGATAATGATACGTCCGGAGTTTAGTAAGACAAAATAATGTATTATCAGTTGGATAATATTTATTGAGAAGCGTGTCAAGTTACAATAGACCATATTTCCCGATAGCAGCATTGCCAAGTTTAATGTATTCTTGTTTGGCCACCTCACGGTCCATTCCTTTTCTGTTGTTCCAGGCATCCCACTTCGATTTCGCTTCAAAGTGTACTGCCCCGGGGCGTGCTGAAACAGAAATAACTTAAATGGATTGGGCATCCTACAGGTATTGCAGTCGCCGACTGTAGCTTGCTTATACAGACTGTACAGATCGAGCATCTCCGACTCTGATGGCTTTTTCGCCAACTTGCGGACTTTTTCGGCAACTTCTTCGAAGCTCTAAAAGAATTGTTTTTACCAAAACTGTCTTACCATTGTGGAAAATAACTCGACGCGGCATAGGTAGGGCAGCCTACTTAAAGCATTCGTCTCGGCGTCAACGACCTTGGCTCAGTTAAACGCAATATACAGATATCAGACGATGATCAAGGGTGGTATCGCAAATGATTCTTAGAGTTCCGTTAACCTTCGTGCACTGAAATAAAAACTGGGATTCTAAAGTTCGAAATTTGAGAACGCCGTATTTACAATAACAAATAAAGAATCCGGACGACTATAGTCCCGCTCTCTCTGAGTCTTCTGATTTATTGTGGCCGAGCGTAACCAGTGAGTTCTCAGTATTCAGTTTAGTTTAGCATATTGAGGCAAAATATACCTGAACCTCTGATAACCCTATTTCAAGTGACAAGACAGTGAAAAACAAAGAGACATCCACGATGATGGAACCTGGGACAGGAACTGCAAGGCTTGCGTATAATCGCGTTCCTAACAGCAGAAATGCGAAAAACCGGCTGAGAACAAATATTGGTTAGAGGATACAAGGTAGCCCTCGCAGTACGGTAAACTCCCAGCTGCCTGTCTTACGGGACCGGTGGTAATAGGGGCTATACGGGTGGGGCCTGTGAGTGGAGGCAAAAATGGGGCAAGCAGTACACGTCTAAAAATGAAACCTCAAGGGTAGTGGAAGCCTGATTTAAATAAGATGAAAAATGCAGGGAAGGTTTGTAAATGGGCACGGATAAATAAAACGGTATGCGGAATAAATGCAGCCTTGCCCCGGATAGGAAAGAATGCCAAGGGAAAGTTACCAACCAATAGGAAGAAGGAAGTGCGTACTAAGGCCATTCCGCGAATGTGCGATATTACGATAACCATCGAAATGGACACAGGAGCACATGTGTCAAGTTGCGACCCACACGACGGAAAAACGCAAGTGGAGTGAGTATTTAATGTGAAAAAATATCTTTGGTTGGATGAGCAACGTTGAGAGTAATAGTTTAGTGCCACTGTGGTAACGTATGGGGAATAAAACTGTGGCAGTAGTTGTGGGCTGTATGTGAACGGTATGGAATTAAATGTAAACAGGAAATAGCACTTTTGTAAAAAAAAAGTTCCGCTTTGGTCTGTCTTGCAGAGCCCAGTCTGGTAGAAGGCGACGAAAAGCACGACCACAGGTGGATATGCCGACGGATTATGCACGGATTCTTGAAATAATTCAGTCATCCTACCTAGTGCAATATCTCCAACGGAAAGGACTCCTGACCCGTAGGGTTTTATGTAGGTGCCGGAAGGCCATGCCGTTACAAGTATTGCGACAACACACGGATGGTTATGCCTTTAGGTAAGGTCTGTTTACTGTGGTATACAGACCGTAGATGCGCCCGATGTGGAGATAAGAGAGCCCTGAGAGTGGGCTCAGTGCTTGACGGAAGGCATCTGACACTACCTAAAGCGATGAAAACGTGCCTTTCTTTCATTGAAGGCACTGGGGTGACTAGATGTGCAGCCATAGTAGGAATAACTAAGAAGACCGCAGTTGACTGGTAGGGTATATGGCGAGACGTATGCACAAAGGCCCTCCTACAAGAAGTAGGTCAACTCGGTGGGCCCGACATCGAAGTCCAAGTCGACGAAACGATGATTTCGCGACGCAAATACAATGTGGGGCGACTGAAGAAGCAGAATTGGATTATGGGTAAGTGAACAGTGTACTGTCACATCATTTTAGGCATGTATGCTTCGGCCAAAAAGAAAGCCCTATTCGAGCAAGTAAATGATAGAAGCTGGCCGTCCCTAAGGGCTGTCATAAGAAAGTGGATTGCGCCAGGCAGCGTGATAGTCACTGATGAATGGAAAGGATATACACGTGTGACGGATGAAGGATATCGACATTTAACGGTCAATCATTCAGTTAATTTTGTGGACCCAGTCACTCGAAAGAACACGAACGCTATCGAAGCCTACTGGAGTAGGCTGAAGAAAAAATTACGTGAACACGGTCCCATCCGGGGAAGGAACATCTGGGCTCATGTAGACGAAGCCCAGTGCCGCCTTTGGTATGGCCTCAAGGCAGGCAATTTGCCCCAAGCATGGGAATTATTCTTAAAGCATATAGCGGACGCTTACCCGGTTGGTGACCGTACTTGTTCAGCGGAAGACGGAGCGCAGCTGACGCAAAGGTAAGCGTCGGTCATTGATGACATAACCCATTATATTAGTTAAATGCATGCGCACGAAGTGTCACCCCAACACAAAGCCTAAACGATGGGCAACCCAGACCGAAGCACGCAATCGAGAGAACCCAACAGAAGCGAAATTTATGGCAGCCCTTTTTGTGTCAATAGTGAATGCATCTGTATTTTAATTACTGGCCTACCCTTCTAAACCATGGTCAATGGACTGGGCTGCGGCGGCCAAGTGCGAAAGACTTGATGACGCAGTTGCCAAATAGGTGGACCGCCTGACTCGCTGATAACGGACTTAACGAAACTCCCGAAGTGAGGGATCGGGAAAGAAGTTCACTCGACAGGGAAAACCGCATGCTAACCCGGCACACGCTTTTAAGGCAGTGCGCGCACGCAACTGACAAGGCGGTTGAAGTGAAGAAGAAATTCATCCTAACTGGGCGTCTGCGTATTCACCCCCGGACATAATGCCAACCGCAAAAAGCCATAGATAGTAGGTACCGGTAAGGCAGTGCTCGCATGCAACTGGAATCATAAGAAGCACGGTAAATCGCAATCCGCCTAGAATAAAACTGTTGCCTTTTACTAAGGATTTCCGCGTGGGGAGGGTGCAATACAATGAATCTATATAGACATTCTTGCAGCACCACGTTCTCGGGGCGGTTGAAGTTACGAAGGAAGTCAACCATGACAGGGCCACTGCGCGTTCACCAGAAGGAAGTCATCCTGACAAGTCGGTCTGCGCGTTCACTATAACACATAATGAGGACGTAAGCATGGCTAGGCATGCAATTTGAGCCATAATGGGGAGCGCCATAAATCGTAATCCGCCTAGAATAAGCCCCTCGCCTTTTACTAAAGATTTCCGTGTGGGGGGGTGCAATACAATGAATCTATATAGAAATTCTTGCAACACCACGTTCTCGGGGCGGTTGAAGTTACGAAGGAAGTCAACCATGACAGGGCCTCTGCGCGTTCACCAGAAGGAAGTCATCCTGACAGGGCCTCTGCGCGTTCACATTTTACACACAATGAGGACGTAATCACGGCTACTGAAATCAAGCCATTAGGTACAATTGTAGAAACCGGGCGCAAGGCTACCAACTACCCTCCTACCCAAATATTTAACAAGCATACCGATAAATTTGATATGTCGACACGCAAATATTGAAGCAGTTGCAGAAATTTTCCAGTCGACCGAACACCATGATCATTGGCGAATTTAACGCACCAGGAATTAACTGAAACACCCTCCACGTGTCAGGTCCAAAATCGACACTCCATTACCGTCAGCTGAACAAAACATTCAGGGTGTCCCTCACATAACATGTAATCTTTCCAAGGAAAACACGTGAAGGGCAAAGAACAGACTACCTGGACATGGTTTTTACGAAGGCACCAGACAGCATAGACGAGATCATCTCCTTGCCGCCCCTTGGCCGAGGTGACCAAGTAGTGCTTACGTGGTATTATTCTTTATTCGCCATTTCGAATAATCCAGTCCAAACAAAGACGCAAAGTTTGGCGGGACGACTTCAATCCCATGAATACAGAATTAACCGTTCTTGACTGGAGATCATTGTTTTCGGGTATTGCAAACGGTGATTGGGAGTTGATCAAGAATGTTCTTTTGCAGTTCATCAACAAACACTGCCCACTGACTAGTGTAAGACTGGGCAAACGCCCTGGGTGGCTAAATAGCAGAATAAGTAAAGAAATGAAAAGGGAGCAAAAATTGTGAAGTAAATACTGTCTCACTAGCAAGTTGAGTATTTCAACACCTGCAAGACACTGAGGAACAAACTGAGGACAATGATTATAAAAAAGCAACCTAGAACCCAAAATTACTCTACAGCTACGTCCGACAAATTACTGGGAACATACATCAGACCCCCTTAATAAGGACTACTGATGGCTTCGAGATAGTCGATAGTGAGGATAAAGCTGCGTGTATTTCACAGTTTTTCCACTCAGTCTACACAAACGCGGCAAGGTTCGTTCCTCAGTCCATAGAAGAACTGCCGACCCCAAGCGTTAGTGATATACTCTTCTCAAAAGTTATTTTTCGAAGAAAATTGGAGACATTGAACGAATCGAAGTCGCCAGAACTAGACGAGATTTCAAACGAGCTTCTCAAGGAACTTGCCAGTGAGTTTTCCGTGCCTTTGCCGATGCTCTTTCAAACGCCATTTGATATTTGAACACTTCCTACCGATTGGAAACTGGAGCATATTACTCCGCTTAACAAAGGAGGTGGCAGGGCATCGAAGACAAATTGCAGGCCCACAAGCTTGATATGCCTTCTCTGCCAAGTTATGGACAGGATCACAAAGAGTGAATTGACGCATTTCCTGAAAGTTCACAGCCTGATAGCGAGATGCCAACATGGGTTCCCGCACGACAAATTTGCTGCAATCTCTCCAGAGCTGGACCCAAGATCGCGACAACAGGCAAGCGGTCCATATGACTTTCATTGACTGCGAGAAGGCGTTCGACACTATGTTACACCAGAGGCTGTTACGCGAACTAAAAATAGGAATCAGCAACAACTTACTCAAATGAATCCAGAACTTACTTTTGGGTCGACACCAGGTTGTGCGCATCGGTCAAGGGCAAGCAGATCCTGCTGTCGTCAAGGGTGGTGTCCTTCAGGGTTCAGTACTTGGACCATTTTGTTCCGCATGTACGTGGAAGATGCTGTAAGAGCTTTAGACTGCGAAGTAGCAATGTTTGCTGACGGAATGAAGATATCGAGTGTAATTCGGGACCCTGCCGACGAAGACAGACTGCAAGTGAACCTAAATCGGTTGGAGTAGTGGTCAAACCGTTGGCACCTGCGGTTCCACGTTA